CTCCAATATCTCTATGAAATCCTGCAGCTTTAGTGAAATCCTGTAGTCTAACGTGTTTTTTGAATCCTGGCGCCTACGTGTCTTGATACCTTAGGCACAAGGATTTTCAAATCCCATCTCTGCTGGAATTTCCTGGGGCCCTACCTAACGTCCTTTTTTGATATTCTTTACTTAACATATTCTTTTTGAAAAATGGACCTTCGGAGGAGAAGTGTCCTCCACTAAACCAATCTTTATCAGCTTCCATCATGTGGTTCATCTTCCAACGCGTCACCTTTTTCCACAAGTTATGGGGCTCCGGATCGGTCGATGACATGGCACAACGACTGTGACTGAAGCGACGCGAGGTGTGACCAACGCGTGCTTCTCACTCCGAGCAACGTGGAAGACATGGTCACAGGGTGACAACGGGTGACCGATCTTCGAGTCAGGCTCACTTGGATTGGAACACATGTTTTCCCCAAAGAAGGAAGGGGTAGGAGGGGGAGAGAGAGAGAGAGAGAGAGCGAATCAGTCCAAGGTCCGGGCGTGGGCCACTGGAGGCCTTTGAAGGCCGGTCACCGGAGGTCATCAATGTGAAGGTTCCCCACAACGGGGCCGAAAGCAAATGCTTGGGCAGCATGAAGGGCGCTGAGCTTGCAGATCTGTGGCACAACCTTGGCCAAGGTTGTAGTGGAGAAGGCTGAGAGCGTGTCATGTCCCTGTCAAAAGCCTCAAGATCAAGGGTGAGCCGAGCCTGGCAGCACCAATTGGCACAGGCCATGGCATGCCATGGCCTCGGCCACGCCAAAGGAAGAATGCCCCCTTGGAGATCCTTGATGAACTAGATGAGGCGGATGAAGAGCATGCCGAGATCAGCTTGCCAGCGGCCAGCGGCGGTGCAAACCTGGTTGACGGCGGTCCCACCCGCCTCCTCTCGGCGGCCCAAGCATGGTAGCTAAACGGTGGGAGGATTTTCAAGCCCGCTCAGAAGAGCCATCAGGCTGAAGAGCACCATTGCGAGCTGTTCAAAAAATATTATCAAGCGCAGGCTGTAGCAAAGGAGAATGAAGGCGGGCTCCGCTCATGAGGAGGTCAGCCGAAAAATGCTGAGCGTTATGCGGGCTCCCCTGAATTGCCTTTGAAAGCTGTCCTGCAGGACATGGTGGAAAGCACGGCCGATGCTGAAGAAGGACACTGCTGGAAATTGTGGACCAGCTGCATCAAGTGTGACAAGTGTTGGATCAAGCCGCCTCGCAAATGCAGCAAAGAAGCTCTCGTGCTCTTGAAGTAGTGAGGACTTCAAGGGAAAGCCACATCTGTCCCACAAGTTGGTGAGGCCGGCGGCCGTCACACCTCCAGTGTGAGAGCTTCATGGCTGAAGGACGTAGGCAAGCCGGCGGTGGAAAGCACCATCCGCCGACGCCGCGGTGAAATCCTTGGGACCTCCGCGCTCGGAGTCGTGAGCTCCATGTGCAAAGAAATGCATTGAATTAGTAGCTTCTTGTTCGTAGCGATGGCCTCCAATCTACTTGCGATGGCCTCCACCTACCAGCTGCTTCCAATGGGTCGCCAATGGACAACCCTACCGTACTTATACAGTAGGTCTCCCAGACAGGGCACCCATTGGAAGTGCTAGGTAAATAGCATCCTTGTATGTATAATATATCGGTTTTTGGCCCCATCGGGTGCCACATATGCTGGGCACTCCGGCATCGGGAGCATCGGATGCTGAGTGAGCTCAGGAAAGAAACGAGCAAAAACAAACAGCGAATGCAGCTGTCCAAAGAAGTTCTGCATTCCGGAAATGTCAAGGATCAACTGATCAGTGATATGATATGACATGTGGGACTGGTTCAAGTCTGTATGGAAAAATTGTGGGATGAGCAGCTTGATTTGAGGTATTCAGTACAACTTATTCCTACAACTTCCCATCTCCATCCTTCAAGTACAGCACGCACGATAGCGCAACCTGACATCTTGACACCTCCAGCATCCTCCCAAAAGACGCCCGCCTTGACACCGCCCTCGGGCAGTTCAAAGCTGAAGGTCACTGAAGCCTCGGTGATGTCAGTTGTCGGCCATGGGCGCTGAATGGCTGAAAAAGGCTGAATAGAGCGAAACATGAACATGTAACACGAGTATGACTTTTGTCTATCCCATTGCCATGGATGATGACGATTAGTAACTAAAGGCCTTTCTCGAAAAAATGTAATACAAATTGTTTACCGACTGTTACAGGTAAATATAATAGATTATACGGACAGGCATAATGTATGAACTTCGTGGTTGTCCCTTCTCTCCAATGGTCGAGGAATCTGACCCTCCTACAAAAGAGCTCTGCTACAAGAACTGTCCACCACTTGCAAACTTCTGGATGTGGGTCAAAACCCAAATATAGGCTAAATGGAGGGGGTGTGGAGAAAGGGGGTCAGCAAAAATCGCTTATACGAAGTTAGTGCATCAAAAATACATTCCACGAAGTTCTGCGAAGGTTTCTGGAATTTCGTTGCAGTCAGTTCTCCTACTGGCCCACCATTCCACGAACTGTCCACGAATAGCCTTGGGTTCTACGAATGTCCCACGCCTTCCACGATGTTAGTAGAATAGGTTTTTGCAAAACCCTTTGTGTGCACTACCCTTCCGTTTGCCTCTGACCAAACCTTGGTTGACATACCAGGATATACTATAGGTCAACCTACCAGACTTTGGAGCCCAAACGCTTTCTTCTCCACCCCCCCTGGTTTGGATGCTTCGGTTTGGACCTCCGCAGGCTCGGTCTCCGTGGGTTCGGGCACCGGGGACTTCATCACCGCCTCCGGCGCTGGATCCTCCTGGGCGGTGCACTGAGCGGTCGCGCCCCGCAGTGAGAGGAAGAGGTTGGGCCGGACCCGCCCCTAGTAGCGATGGCCCATTGGGAAGCACTGTGCTGGAGTGGGACCATGCATATGACAGCATGGACAATTACATAAAGTCTAGTAGGTGGATCACTATATATCACTATGAACACCTCTCGTCGGTCGACTGACTGCAGTAATCCTATATACAAAGGGTATTTGTTATTCACCTGCTTGGAGCCTTGGCTTTCACAACAAACACCTCGAAGCAGGTTCTCTGGAACCGCACTTGCTCCATGTGGGCCCGGTGTGAAGGAAACACCTCGAAGCTTGTACCAAACTTTGGATTTGCTTAAGGAACCTGGAGGAAAAAAGCATATTCCGCAGAAGGGGATTCATCCATGGGGAAACTAAACCATCACCTTCAGAAAACCAGGAACACATTTTTTCTGAGTCCTCAGCAAACCGGTGTCATCCGGTCGACCCTGGAACAAACCCGTCCGGTGGTGTTTTTTAGGGAATCAGGCCACTTGGCCACCTGCAAGTCATGAAATCCACCAAGATCCTTCTCTTCAAAATCTGAAAGAAATCAACATCTGAGATGTTTGGTTCCTAAACGTTGCCCCCCCCAAAACCCTCCCAGCTTGCCATCAGCATCGATGGCTCTCCTTAAGTGGCACTGGGGCAGGTGCTGCGGAGGCCACCTCCTCAAAGCCTGATGTCACTAGAGAGCTGGAGGCTGGGCATCGAGATGAGTGGAGTGGCCATCAAGTGGTGTGGCAGTGTGGCCCATATCCCTCCAACCAGGCCAAAAAGCAGGTTGCAGGACTGGTGGCAGGACTGATGTCGATAGAAACTCAAGTGATAGCCGTTTTTTACATAGCCTTTTGCCGGCGGTTGCTGGTAATAAGGCATAATCCTACATATACTGATTGAAACCCATCTGCAAAAGCATTGTCCATTGTCATCAAAGACCATATCTGGTGAGATCCTATCTGGCGACCATGCCGTTCAATTACAAATCCTACCCCTATATCCTCAAAAGGCAGGTAGGGACTGACCCCTCAAAACCCATCCCAGCCACCGTATTCTCAACGGAGGTCGGCCAGGTTCTTTTAGGGCTTTTAGGTCACCAAGAAGCTCCTATTTGTGGACGTTTGATGACACTGAAAAAAGCTCTAGAAAGAAGCCTTTCTCGGCACCTCACTTGAAAAGGATGCTTGACAGCCAATTCAATGACCGTCTACTCTCCAACATGGTTGTGCTTGTACATTGTATCCAGGCACGTGCATTGGATCTAGGTCAAGGGAGGGTTGCCTCTTCAAAATAACTTCCGCTTTCCCAAACACTCTGAAGCCAACCAAGTATAGCGCAATCAGTGCTTCAAGGTGCCGTCTGTTTTCATTCAAGTCCTCACCAACAGCCCACAGAATTCAGAATCCCAGGCTCGGAGTCGATTCGAAAATGGGCACAAGTACGGTCCTGTCCATTCATGTCCCATTGTTCTAGGGCACTTGAAGTCGGGTCCGCTAAACGCTGAGAGATCGAATTCCATCCAACACCCCCGCGTTGACTTCCTGCGCGGCGCACGGTCTGCGGTTCCCCACCGACGTTTTCCGAGGCAGCGCAGCACGAGCAAAACATCGCCATGGCAGAAGACGTTCACCGGGGCCGGGCTGTTCACTGAAGGACTTGTGCTTTCCAGGCTTGGACAGGCGGGACAGGCGGGAGCGCGGGGTCAGTAAAAAGCACTCGAGCTCAAGTAACCCAAGAAACCACCCAGCAAACCACATGCAAACCAATACATGGTGCCTTGGCACTGCACAAATCAACATCCCTTGGTCTTTGAGTCAACTATGGATTTGCAGGGAGCCCCATCCTGGGGGCAAATGACGATTCCGATTCCCAAAAATACAGCTAGACATCATAAGAAGACCAATGAAGACCAGTGACGACGTGAAACGCTCCACGTGAAAATCGAGCTGATAAAGTGGGCAACACTTGGTGTCACCTTTCGTGTTGCCGAAACGGTCCCAAAACGTGGTCCCCCAAATAGATAAAAAGGGTTCCCAATACATTCTTACGGGGGATCTATTTTTCTATTTGGGGGGTAGGTAGGGGCTGCAATGTGTCAACCCCTTTTGGACCATCGATGAACGTGATCCCCTGTCACTGGGCGCTCGCCTGCATTTGTGCGGCCACCTGAGCCTCGAAATCGCTGATCCTGCTCCGGTGGATGAGGGATTGGTTGAATTCACGAGGATGTGAAGCCATTCTGCTACAGGGAGCATTTAATGACACGTGATAAACCATCCAAATTCGAAGATTTGCCAAGCTCCACATGCCAACAGCACCAGTTTCCAGGAGTGCAGCAGTAAACAACAATAGTATCTATAGATGTACATAGAAAAAAAGAAACAAAACAAAGGAAAAACACATGTACATTGTTTTTTGTTATCTAAAAATCAAACATATATATATACCTAGTACACCCAGACCCTAACAATTTGCAGGGTCAAAACCAATACCTCGTGTTTTCTGACACATGCAGGCATACATCGGGTATTCCTGGAAAACCTCGTGTTTTCCTCATCCAGAGCCTTTCAATGGCTCTGACATGGTCTGAGAAGGTATTGATGTATGAAACTTCCAAGATCAAACACAAAAGTCATGTCGTATGGAGATTGATCACGAATATTCAGGAATGGATGTAGGCCTCAATGATAGGTGAGGCGGTGCGACTAGGTTCAATGGATTTCAATGGCCATGAATGTCCTTCCAAAACCCACGGTTGACTCTCTGACCTCACTTCAACCGTTCTGCCCCGCGCTCGCACGGTTTCTTTCCATGCTGATCATGCTGGACTTCGAGAATGTGAAGCACCAGCCCGGTCTCTCAGTCCTGCCAGGGGGTCAGATTTGGATGGCTTCATGGTGTTTGGGCACCTTGGTTGAACCACCTCGAACCTAAAGGCATTTGGCCCAATCACCCCATCCTTTTTGTGAAGGCACTGCCTTCACTAGTGTCTTGCCCATGGCTGACCCAATGAAGTCGTCAAAACGGATGAAGGGACCCCTGCTTGATGTCAAGGGGATGGCCGGAGAGTGGGATGCTGATACTACTGTTCGGGGTCGCTTGCGCACTGGAAAGAGCTTCTTGCACCTGTCCGACGGGAAACGGTGTGAGGATATCAAAACGTGCATTATGAATCAGGAGATCTTGTCACCACTCTTGACAAGGATGGCCGTGACGGATCACCGACCCATCATACCAGTAGAAGCAACCCAAGCGGAAATCACCATGCTCTTGACAATGAACAAGCTGGAGCCTGGGGACCTACACAATGTGGAGCAAGACACGTGGCACATCAGGAAGCTTTTGGGGTTCATCAAAATGAAAGTTCGCCGCCATGAGCTGAGCAAGGCGGGATGTATATTTTTGTCACACATCCATGTTTAAGGGTCGAGATCCTGTGTGGTAAACCCAATCTTACATTGGTAACACTTTCGCATACACGTTTTTTTGGCTTTCCACTATATTAAAAGTCAATACCGCTGTGACGCAGGTAGAAGCCTTTCAAAACCTTTGCTTGATTTTGGACCCTACACTCCAAGCACCTTTGCTCAAAAGCTGCAACACCTTTTTGTTTTTTTATCAGTTTGATTGGTGGTCAAAAACTTTGCAAACCCTTGTGGGATATTGATTCCATTGTAATTGTGTGCGATATTTTTTTGTCCATATAGGGCTTTCCTGTTTGAGGCGGAAGCCGATGCCATTAGAGAGAAGATCCGGCTGAAGAAGGCTGAAGCTGCCAACGACGGGGACAAAGCTTCCGAGGACTGTCTATTAAACAATCCTGCCATGTTCATGTTGCAAACCGTTTACCTTTGTATGGGGATCGCAACAAGGCTGTGATATTTTTCAGGAAAACCAAACACCCTCGCAGTCAAAATGCCCAATCACGCTCACGAAAACAGGATGATGACGATGAAGATGCGTACGAAGAAAGCTTGGAATCGGAATCTGCTAGCGAAAAAGCTGATGATCCTGTTGCGACTGGTGGTGCGCAGCCATCAGCTTCGGCCAACAGCGTCCCCAAACCCAGTGCTGCCGAGCCCGCTCCTCAAGCGCCGGAACCAGCAGCCCTTCCTGAAGCACCAGCTCCTGGAGGCCGGGGATTGCTGGGGATTTGTCATTGAGGCCACCAAGTTTGAAGGTTTAGAACGCCTCCATTTCAGTAAAGCCAATGTTTAATAACCAAACCTCGATGGTAAAAACGAATCAACATCGATCAACTGCTTTCTCGTTCTAATGCTCCGTCCCCAGGTGGGAAGCAGGAGACTGTGGATGAGAAGCGCGCAAGGATCCTTGCGGAATTGGAGAAGTCACTTGCAATACTAAAGCATTGAGTTTCTAAAGTATACTTTTGGTGTGATTTTCTCCGCCCAGGTTCAATTTTGATTTATTTGGGACAAACTTTTGTTCATCGTGCCAAGACAAGGCTTCGTGCCAAGAAGGCATTGAAGTCTACAACTGCTATCCAACAACCTGTGGCAAGTCTTCCTGCCCAGCCATGTTCAGGCAGGGGTGTTGAAAAAGAAAGCTTTGTGATTGGATAGGGAAGGCATTTTCATGCATTTAGTCTATAGTCCTTCTGAGTAAACTTGTCCAAGTTCCCTGTATAGGAAAAGTGGTGGTTGTGTATGACTCTCAGCCTTTTACAGGTGACGACGTTGAGACACTCCCAATCGACATTGTTGAAGCCCCGACTCCTGCGGAGCGTGTTCCTACGACCACATCGCCAAGCCCTACAGTCGCCGAACGTCGTGAACAATACCAGCAAAAGCATCAGCCTGGCAGGGACCCCGTAGCAACTCTTCAGTTTGGCTCGGAGGAGGGGCCAGCTCAAGCAGCCGAACCACCTGTTGAGAACTTGACCAAGCCACTTGAGACGGAGCCAGTCACCACCCCACCAGAGGAACGATCGACAGATCCATCCCACAAAAACGAACCACCTACGGATCCAGCCCCAAAACAGGAATCACTTGCGCCAGCCCCAAAAGATGAACCGGCTGGTGAACCTGTCAAGGAAGACCAGGAAGACCTGACTAAGCCAACCGGTGAGGAAGTTTTCACTGACTCAGAGCCTGAGGTGGGTTCATTTGTGAAATGGTGGGGGATGCGGGATGTGTTTCGTCTTTTAAGATCCGTATGTCACCGTGTCCGTATGTCACCGTATGTCCCAATTGTGTTGGCAAGTAAGCTTAAGACAATTCCCGTTTGCGCGCGTTCTGGCGCGGGCCTGAGGTGGACGCTGTTAGCAGGGACCAGCAGCTGCGCTTCAAGCAAAAGTCGAATCCGGATGAAGGGGGCCGGAATCGAAAGGGGAGAGGCAGGGGCCGGGGTGGCCGGGGTGGCAAAGGCCGGGGTGGCAGGGGAAGAGGAAAGAGCCTTGAGACGGAGGGAGAAAAGACTAGCGATAAGAAAGGGCAGAGACAGAAGAAAGCAGAAGAAAGTGGCACTAAGAGAAAGAAGGGAGAAGAGAAAACAGAAAACCCTGACATTGAGAAAGATCTTGAGACTGTGAAAGCATCTAAACGCAAGACCTCGTCAAAGGCTGTCGCAGAATCTCAGGACTACCCTGCTGGGTGGGAAGAGATGTACTGTGCGGATTGGGAGTGGGATTACGAACATGGTTGTTGGTGGTGGGAGGTCGGCAGCAAATCAGGGCCTTCGGCAGCCTCAGCTTCCACTGCCAAAGTTAAGAGGAAACACAATGACAAAGCTGAAGCCAAAAGCTCCGAGAGGAAACCCACCAAGACCCCCAAGACAAAGGTTGAAGACAACAGCAAGAGCACAAAGAACGCCAACACTGAGGATGAGACTGTGCCAAAAACACCAACAAACAGCACGCAACAAATTTACGTTATGAAGGAGTTCGCACTGCAGTTCAAGTATATGAAAGAAGACACACATGAACACAGAACCACAATCCGGGAACAGCTGTATGACTCAAAGACATGCAAGCTCAACATCTACTGGACAACATGTCGCTGCGGGGTGAAGCACATAGCCTCGGGGAAAGACTTTACCAGCTATATGTTTTCTCGATACAAATGTCCATGGGTCTTCAAGATGCTGGTAGCCATTGCGGCAGGTCAGATGCTAGTAACCTGTCCCCAGCTCAGCCCATAGAGCTTTTGCTTTCCCACGCAGGAATCCCCTTTTGATGAGCCACCTAGCCTTCTTAAAGCTTTCAACGTCGTCAGCCCAGGCACTCTACTTGGATGAGTTGCACGAAGACAATGAGGAAATCGACTTGGCGACGAACAGGGATTTGTTGGGGATGCAAACTCAGCTCAGGATGTCAGGGCAAGCTGCTTTGGATTTTTTTGTCTCTGAAGCAGCAGCGTCACCTTGATATCACCGATGTCACCCGGGTGCGACTTTTATAGCTGTTAGAGGCATGCTTGGGGGTCAAGTTGTCAACAACTTGAATGGGGTACTGCAAGTCCCTCAGCCAGATTTCGCATTTAGGAAGTGGCATATGTCCAGACCATCCCGGTGTTTTACAGTAACACATATATAGTCAACCAATCCAAGTTTACCACCAGTGTTTATATTGTTTGCATGGTAGCGCAATAAACTATAGAAATATATACTTGAAAGATCTTGAAAGATACATTTACCATATTTACTGTCTGGGATGCCATGGGATGATGGAATGTCGGTGTGAGTTCTGCAGGCTTAGAGCTGCTGAGCGTTGCCCAAACCCATCAACCAACTTTCAGTCTTTTTTGGGATCATGTTGTGATGTACCTGAAGTTTGCCCTGAAGAACATTTGCTTACCCCTCCAAAAGCTTCGATTCCTCAGCGGCCAGTCTGCAGAGCATCTACAGCACAGATATATCGACCAGCTCAAGACTGACGCAGCTCAAAACTAGACCGCCGTTCGTGCATACGCGTTTCAAAGCGTGAAACAGTCACTTGAAGAGATCCCATCAATGGATTAATTGTTGAAAACAATCTGGTATGCACCCTGGCAATTTTATTTCTATTTTTTAAAGCAAGTATAGGATCATGATGGATCGACCGATGCGCTGGATTTTCTCTGCAGATTGCTCCCCAAAGCCTTTCCCCTTCTATGAGTAGTGTCGTTGCTCCTTGCCAAGGCCAAACCTTGGTGCTCATGGCGCGGAAGGCTTCGGCAAGGGCCTCGCGCC